CCAACCTTCCTTCCGAGGAGTGGCTGGTGGGTTTGAACCGCCAGCCTTCTGGTTAGCAGTCAAGTGCTTTAGCCACTATGCTACCAGAGCTCCTAATATAATGAACTAAGAAACTAGAATTCAAATTCTGACTATAACTTCCCAGCCACAGTCTTTAGAAAAATCTTTGTGTGTGTGACACACACACATTTTTTTCTATGCAGTATATTTTCTTTTTTGACATTGTTGAGGGGTAAGGGTTACAGGGTCGATGAGAAAATTAACAGCATTATTTCTGTTCTATGCCCAGGCCTTACCTGAAAGACAGTGTCTAAAATCATGACCTCTTTTTTCAACCAATCAACATATTTAAAGCTATCTCATCATAACAAAACCTTCCTTGAATTATGCCTCTTTTAGCTATGTGCCTGTATTTTTCTTCTTTCCTTCAATAATTTTAAAATAGGAATGTTACCTACTAGATCATCATGTCTAAGGAGTAAACGACATATCATAATTCATATGAAAAACACAGCCAGAGTGTAGCACATAGTAGGAAATTCATAAATGGTAGTTTAAATCAGTGATCACTTATGACTCTCACTCCATTATCACTAAATGGTAGGCCCTTCAAATCTGTTTGAGAGTCTCATGAGCTTTTAAGAATTAAACAGTAAAGTATATCTCTCACAAGTAAAGAAATAAAATATTTGAAAAGATAAATAATTTTCCTATAAATGGAGTCTTCCTCCATTGGGAAGAAATTCAATACTTTTTAAAAACTGTAAGCAGCCTACTTTGTCAGCAGCTGTCTCAGGAAGAGATTCTTCAATGCCAAGTTCTCGTCGTCTTTCAGCCCTAACTTCTGCATAACTACAAATAAAAAAAAAAAAAAAACAAAGTTTTAGTATTCAATCATACATTTAAAATACTATATAGAGTTGCAACTGTTCGGTGTTTATGATGTATCTCAACTATTCATCATTAATGATAGACTATTTTCTATCATCTATGAAAATCTAAAGGAGCACTGGTGGCATAGTGCCTAAGGCATCTGACTGTTAACCAGGAGGTTGGCAGTTCAAACCCACCAGCCACTCTGCAGGAGGAAGATGGCGTAATCTACTTCTGTGAAGATTTATTGCCTTGGAAACACAAAGGGGGTCACTATGAGTCAGAATCGACTCGATGACAGTGACTCTGTTTTTTGTTTATGCATCTAAAATGAATCTACAGTGTACTGTCTTAATTCAATTTTCATTTTTCTAAGTATCTTAAAAGTTTTAGATGCTACTACAGATGATCCATAACTACACAGTACTTCAATTAAGAAGAACTAAATAAAAGGGACAGTATGCTTATCTATTCCACTTTTTCTTCTATAATGATTGACTTTGGTATATAAATTAATTACATTTCTACGTTAAAACATAAAACTTGGGAAGGAGACTGAGTTAGGGTTGGGGATGGTAACTGAGGAGTGAAAGTAAATGTACATGAAATGGTGAATGTAAAACAAACTCTGCTCTATAAACTTGCACCTAAAGCACAGTATAAAATAAAGAGTTAATATGGCAAACAAAACATGAAACTTATGTCAAGAATTATGTATTCTATATAATGCCTGCATAATGTTTCTACCTATTAAGTATTTTAATATTATATAGAAAGGAAGTTATTAAAAAATGAAAAATATCACTTTGTAGTTCATTAACTATTATGCATAAAAATTACATTGCCAGAATCATTGTAAAATATTACTGTAACGGAGAAATTCTCTAAAAGGATTATTACCTTACTACAGTGTGAGTACAAACAATAAACTCTGGCCTTGAATTCCACTGATGATAAGTGATATAATAGTGAGTTTGTAGCCAAATCCACTGCTGGCCTTTGGTCAGGAACCTATAATAACATGATTTGCCTTTCCCATACTGCATTACTAAGAAGAAAAGAGAAGTATATTTTTCTTTGATCAGTATTATTACATATTAAGAATCTATTTCTAACCAAAGATTATTGTTTACATTTACAGCTATATATACAATTATTTTCATGTCATTTCAATAACATATACATTAATAATAAAAACATGCTATACTTAGAGCTTAAAGAACCAAGCAATTAGAAGATCTTCAACTACAGTGCCCAACTTATCACCAGTTGTTGCTATATACAATCAGAACAAGGGAGGGGCCAATTTTATATACTCTTCATACATAACAAGCTTCCAAATATTCCAGAATACATTATTCACCTTGTTAACTTCCTCCTGCCCCAAAAAGCTGAGGGTAACTTGTTGTTGCAATTGTGAGGTGCCGTCGAGTTGCCTCTGACTCACACTGACCCCATGTACAACAGAATGAAACACTGCCTGGTTGTGTGCCATCCTCACAAGTCTTGCTATACTTGGGGCCATTGTTGCAGCCACTGTGTCAATCCATTTTGTTGAGGGTCTTCCTCTTTTTCGCTGACCAAGCATAATATCCTTCTCTAGGGAATGGTCCCTTCTGACAACATGACCAAAGTAGGAGAGACGAAGTATGGCCATTCTCGCTTCCAAAGAGCATTAAGTAATCACACCCGTTTCCCACCACACCCCACCACAAGTATCTTGATAGGTACAGCATCTTTGAAACATTTCTTTCTAATTTTTAGCTAACCCAAATCAGAATAACTTAATTGTTTAACGCAACTGTTAATACAGTATTTCCAAAGAATGCTCTGTTGATTTTAAGTTCTGAAGTCTTTTAATGGATGCTAAGCAAGAAACGAGTTCTGTGGTTAAATTAATTTGGGAAGCTCTCTGTTCAAAATACAGGTTAGGCTTCTCAAAACCTTGAGTATGCTAATGTATGCCAAGATTCTCTAAGAGAGAGCTTATGAAGTGTTTCCCAAACTTCAATGACCATAAAATTTTTAATGGACTGGCATTCAACACAATACACCTTAGAAAATGCTGGTCTGGAATTTCTCTTTTTTAATGAGGAAACAAACATTAAATCACTTGTCCAAAACTACCCAGCTAGTTAACAGAAATATCAAGTCTTTTCACTAAACCCTAGTGTCTAGTGCTCACATCACTCAGAATGAATGATGTTATCTTTTGGGCTGAAATGAGCTTACTCTTAAAATTTTCCATATAGTCGATACCATTATAGAACATGAAAGCAGATGTGGTGGTATAGTGGTTAAAGCATACAGCTGCTAACCAAAAGGTTGGTGGTTTGAACCACCAGTCGCTCTGTAGGATCAAGATAAGACAGTCTGCTTCTGTAAAGATTTACAGACTTGGAAACCCTTCTACTCTGCCCTAAAGGGTTGTTATGAGTCAATCCAATGGCAGGGGGTTTTGGATTTATTATAGAACTTGCTTTATTTTCATACAGATGTGTTTATTAAAAACAGCCTAAGACATAATAGAAGTATCTTAATTATCTAATTAAGCTCTAGAGGACATCCAAAGGAGCAACATTTTGGGGGTAGGACCACAGAAGCAAATGAAACCTATCATTAAAACAAAAATCTGAATCAAAGAATGAACAGCAGTGTGATAAAGGACTGGGCCTAGATTTTAATCCTGGCTGTACCACCAATATGCTATAGATTGTGGGTAAATTAGCCTCACTGTGTTGCAGTTTACTCATGAAAATAATAACAGTAACTACCTTCTAGAAATGTGTTGCTGAATAATGGGGACAATATATGTAACATTCTTAGAACAGTGCCTGGCAATATAAGATGATAATGCTACTGCTGCTGATAATAAAAACAACATAACTGTGGGTAACAGTAACGGAGCACTTACCATGAGCTAATTAAATTACTTACATATATATATATAAGTAACATCTTAAAGCACATTTCAAAAATACAAAAAATGCTATAAATGTGTTATTTTCCCACCTTCTATTAACCGGACATCAATAAGACAAAAGGACAGAAGTAAGATTTCTGCTTGTATGATTCAAAAATAGTTATTATCACCAGAAATATTAAAATCTACTTACAGTGCTCATGACATTTTGCCAAATTTTCTAGATCATCCACATGATAATAATCATAGCCTGATGTTCCCAGAACTTCAAATGGCAAATATCCTATTATGGGTGGTGCCCTAAATTACATATAAAAAATCAATATTGTAACTTTTCTGTAACAAGAAATACTCCAAATAGAAATCAAGTCTTTAAAAAAAGAAAAAAAAGTTGGCCTTTATTTTTTGAAAAATGGATAATGGATTTGAAAGTCTTCATTAGAAAAAAATCTGTCCTTGAAACCCATTAATTTCAAGAATTAGCTCTGGTGGCATAGTGCCTAAGGCATCTGACTGCTAACCAGAGGTTGGTGGTTCAAACTCACCAGCTACTCTGTGAAAGGAAGACTGGGCAATCTACTTCCGTAAAGATTTATCACCTTGGAAACCCAAAGGGGGTTGCTTTGAGTTGGAATTGACTCAATGGTAGTGAGCTTGTTTTTTTTTTTGAAACTCATTAATTTCAAGAATTATAAGATAACAATTACCCCTTCATCGAATTTAAAAATGGAGTTACCTGTGATCTAGAAATAGGAATTTCCATTCTAAACTATGCCTTGAAGTAAATTCTTCATTGGGTTCTTCAACAGTGCACATTTCCTACAAACAAATTAATAATTAAAATTTAGAGATACTTCCCTGTGTCCTTAGAAGAATCTTACCTATTGTTTGGTCCTTATTAGATAACTTTTCCCTAAACGTGTTATTAACACATTTACATTTTGTAATATTAAAGACTGGCAATAAGTAACTCTCAGATATAGGTTTTCTTAGGAGTATTTCTTATTCCTCAAAAAACTTTATTCCTCAAAGTAATTTTATTCACTCATATATGCCAATAAACCCTGTTTCTGAATTCAGACCTCTCACCTGAATTATATACAGGCAGTCCCCAGGTTATGAAAGTCTGACTTACAGACAAGTCCTACTTGACCTTTAACGTTACGTAAATGTGCCCTCCTTTGAAATGGATGAATTATTCTATCCTTGTAACAAATTTCATCATCATTTGCTACACGGGCAGCTTTTACATCACTGAAATGGCTTTGAGACTTTTCTTGCACTAAAGTAAGGTTTTCCATTCAACAATCCACATACATTTTGATTTGTGACATCCACTGTAATCCTGACAACGTAACAGTCCTTTCTACTTCTTCCCTCTGTTTACTGTTTCCGTTTTTCTTCTTTCCTATTCCTTCCTGCCTTCTGATATGTATCCCTAGGCAAATGCTGCCTTTTGATCTCATATGGTTGGTTGTTGTAAGGACTGTGTACTTCCTTGGTATTACTGTTCACCTCATAGATTGGTTTATTATTTGGCTGAAAGCTGGGCCATGGGGGTGAGTTAGGTTCTAGGCCTGAAGGGTGTCTAAGGGTTCCATCAGTCTCTTTCAGACTATTAAGCTTGGACTTTTTTTTTATTTTTATTTTTTTTAATGATTTTGTTCCACATTTTTCTCCCACTCTATCCAGAAATACCTACTGTAAACCCTTTCAGAGCAGTCAGCAGTGAGTCAGGCACTGTCTAGTTCTCATCTCAGGGTCATGGGGACTGGGGTTTGAGTAGTTCATTAGTCCTTTGGATTAATTGTTTATATATGTCTTTGATTTTCTTCACTCTTCTTTGCTCCAGTTGGGGAAAGACCAATAGTTACACCTCAGATGGCCACTTACAAGCTTTTAAGACCCTAGTCATTACTCTATAAAGTATGATGTAGAACACTGTCTTCATGGGCTATGTTATGCCAGTTGACCTTGATTTCCTGAGACTATGGTCCTGTGCCCTTAGGCCCAATGATTCCTCCCCAAGAGGTGTTTGATTACAGCTAATAAGTTTTCATAACTTTGTCAAATTGGAACAAATTGATTTGAAGGCCTGATTCCAAATGGCTTCTGTGTCCTTGAATAACCTTTGTGCAGCACAGTATAGTAAAAAGTTTAGGATTTTAGTCAAAGAGAATAGGAATCAAATCCTAGTTCTACCACTTACTCACTGAAGACTCTGGGCAAGTAATTTAACTTCTCTATGTCTCAGTTTCCTTAAACATAAAATGGGAATCATATTAGCATCTATCTCATAGGGTTGTTATGAGAATTATGTAAGATAATGGATGTAAAATACACAGCATGTAGTAACAACTCAAAGAAGCCCTAGTAGAACAGTTGTTAAATACTTGGCTGTTAACTAAAAAGATTGGCAGTTCAAACCTACCAGCCCATTTCATGAGCTAAAGATGTGGCAGTCTGCTTCCATAAAGACTATAGCCACAGGAACCTTACAGGGCTGTTCTACTCTGCCCTATCGGGTTCTGAGTTGGAATTGATTTGATGGCAAAGGGCATGGCTAGTAAGAAGTCAATAAACGTTAAGCATTGCTAATATTTCCTAAGGGCAAAAGAAGTAGAGCAAGATTAGTTTAAGATCTCCTAATTGCTAACTCAGCACTTTGTCCTACACAATGGTTTCTCCCTAAATTTTAAATCTTAGGGTTGGCTTCTCCTCTCCAGCTACTTTCTGTGGTTGAACTATATCAACTTTCCTACTAATCATCTGCTGCTGGGCCCAGGAAATGATAATAGATTATTTAATTAAATCTTAAAATTAAAATGATAAAATTATATGCTGTTAAAAGTCATTTGTATGTTCAAAATACAATTTAAAAAACAATCTTTAAAAAATGATCTAGATTATGGCTTTTCTCCTGAACTATGTAAATACTACTCACTGCTGTTGAGTCGGATCCGACTCATAGCGACCGTTCCTTGGGTTTCCAAGGCAGTATCACTACAGGAGTAGATTGCCCAACCTTCCTTTCGAGGAATGGCTGGTGGGTTTGAACCGCCAGCCTTCTGCTTAGCAGTCAAATGCCTTAGGCACTATGCCACCAGAGCTCCTTGTGTAGAAACAGCATCCTAAAATTTTGGACAAAAGCTGAACAATGGTGCTATTTAACCAATTATATCCTTAATTGCAAAGGAGATATGCCAAAACTTTAGTTATATAATTTTATGAGTGACTTAATAATATTTATTATTTGCTTCAAAATAAGATTATGCATATTTAATGACTCATGACCATGACTACACTTCACTGTTCGTAGGAAGTTTCAGTCATCTTAGAAACAAACAAAATTACGTAACAATAGTCCTGATGATATACTAGGTTGAACAGTGTCCCCCCCTAAAATTCATGTCCACTCAGAACCTCAGTATGTGACCCTATTTGGAAATAAGGTCTTTGTAGATGTAATTAGCTAAGATAAGGTCATAGTGGATATTAACATGGGTCATAATCCAATGACTGGTGTCCTTATAAGAAGGCTATGTGAAGAAAGGGAAGAAGGCCATGTGACAACAGTGGAAGAAATCTAAGTAATGCAGCTATAAGCCAAGGAATGCCAAAGATAGCCTGCAACCACCAAAAGCTAGGGATAAGCAAGGAAGGATTCTCCCCTAGAGCATTTAGAAGGAAATAGCCCTGCCAACACCTTGATTTCAGATGTCCAGCCTCCTGAACTGTAAGAATAAGTTTCTGTTCTTCAAGCTACCCAGTTTGCGGTAATTTGTTATGGCAGTCCTGGGGAACTAATATACATGCAGGATTCAAAATGCCTGTTGAAAAATAAAATTAGCAACGTACCTTGATGAACTGAGGTGTAGCTAACCTGACAGTAGCTACAAAACATACTCTATCTTCATAAGAAGGCCTATGTGTGCGTTGTATGGTTCCTTCAAAACCATTGTGTGCTGAAGTAGACACTAAAACAGTAAGGAAATATGTATCATTGTTAATTCACTTAGTTTCTATTGATGTCCAAACTTCTATGTCTTTAAGAGTGTAAAAGAATACCAAGTTAAAATTATATCATAAGAGACACATTTTTAACTTACCACTGTTTAAAGATTTGAAATTTCCTATAAATTTCACATATTCATAGGTTGATGGTTCCTTTGGATCAATTGTTCCTCGAAGCATATGACAACAGAATTCTAATTGATTTTTTGCTGAAAGAATAGAAAAATATGATATATTTCAAAGCAAGATTTTGCTTACCATTTTGAAGCTATTCTGTCTCTACTTTAAGTGGTCTTTACTATCTTCTCTAGGTTTTGGGCCAAACCACTGTTATTCATTCTTCTAGCACCTACACTTTCTCTTTCTTTGGCTCCTTACTTTCCACTGTTCAATTGGCTCAGGTCTTCCCATTTCAAAGAAAGAGCTGTTCATGCTACTTTTTTTAGTGTCACAGATCTCCTTAGTTTTCATTATGTGCTCCAGCTTCCATATATTAATTACCCTTAATTTCATGTACTGTGACTCTTATTACTCTACAGAAATTATTCTCCTAAAGATTTCCTGTATTTTTACTTTCAACTTCAATGGTCTTTCCTCATTGCTTTCACCTTTTCTTAAAACCCACAGTTCTTCATTCTCATAGCATATAAGTTACCTTCCTACTTCACTGACTATTCCTTTCTTTTTTGCTAGAGCAACTTCAAACTGTGGGCATTCATTAAGTTTCTTTTAACCTTCATCTTTTGCTATCCTTTATAAACTTATTGGTCTCAGTAAGATTTTTATTCCTACATCTTTTCTCCCAACTTACATTTTATGTAAGACAAAGTCTTATATCACTGTTTGCTTTCAGGACATTTCCACTTGATTGTGCCATCAGCAGCTTAAAATATTTGAAAGTGAATTTATCCTCTTACTTCCTAAACTGTCCTTCCACTTTATTCTATTTGTACTTATTTCCCAAGTTAGAAACCTTATCAATTTTATCTGTTCTCTTCCCATGCCAAGTCCCAAATCTAATCTGTAACTGTTGTTATTGTTAGATGCTGTCAGGTTGGTTCGGACTCACAGCAACCCTATGGTACAATGGAATGTAACGCTACCTAGTCCTACACCATCCTTAGAATCATTGCTATGTTTGAGCCCACTGTTGCAACCACTGTGTCAATCTATCTCATTGAAGGCCTTCCTCTTTATTGCTGGCCCTCTATTTTACTAAGCATGATGTCCTTCTCCAGGACTGGTCCCTCGTGACAACATGCTCAAAGTTCATAAACTGAAGCCTTGTCATGTACTTCCTTCTAAGGATTCTTATCAATTTCTCTTCTACACATTCTCTTTTAAAATCTGTAAGTAGGATTTGCAATTTATTTCACTGAAAAAAGCTCTCAAAAGCCAGTTTTTCCACTGAGCTTATACAACCAAAAAAAATCAAACTCACTGCCGTCAAGTTGGACCCAACTCTTAGCAACCTTCCTTGGCTTTCCACAATAGTATCACTATGGAAGCAGATTGCCCAATATTGCCTCCTCCTTCCGAGGAGTGGCTGGTGGGTTTGAGCCCTACTACCAATTCACACAAGCTGGAATTACTTTGCGTCTATATAACTGCAACAATTTATTAATTATGACTCCATACTCAGATATGGCCTGGCCTACCATTCTTAGGACAAGAATTTTAGCACTCAAAGACTATTAACACCTCTTCTCTGCTCACTGCATCAAATTCCTACTTTTGTGCCATTATTATGATAGATGGGTTCATCATCTAACACAACAGGTTCAAAATCTAATTACCTTCGTCTCCACACCTTCCCCAATGATGATCCCTATCCCTTCAGTGACCTATGCCTGAATCCTGTCAAGTCTTGTTGAGCTTATCTACTTAAACCCAAGTATCCTCTTTCCTCTCCATTATTACTTCTATTTGCTAGGAGTATATAGTTTACTCTTTGTCTCCAATCTAGTTCTCTTGAAATTTTCCACCTCATTTTTTTTCAGATCACTTCACTAGTTCCTCACTGTGTAAAAAATAAAAATTGAACTCCATAGGATAAAACACTAGGCCTTTTAAAATTCTGCCCCTATTTCCTTCTCCAGAAACAGACCAACACCACCTGTACCACCCACATATCCCCTTCATTACAGCCAAAATGACCTACTTGGAAAATTCTGAAATTTCCACTTTCCCTTCTGTCTTAACTCATATTAACTCTGTTTCACATGAAACTTTTTTTTTTTTTTTTCTGGGAGAGAAACTTTTTTTATGGATCCATTATTTAACTAAGGGGGGGGGTCAGTTATTTAATTTAGGCTTTTCTCTCTCAAAAACTATTGTTGCCATCCTTACCTCTGATTTTAGATGTAGAAGCCTTGAGTCTGTCTTTCTACCTGAGGCTTATATTCCGTTTTCTAGCCAATTTTGCCCTTATGAAGGTCTCTATACCAGACTTCTTCTCTTTTGACTACCTATTGCTTCCTTCCAGGATTCCACCCTTTTAACTCTTCTCTTATTACTCTCTATATTTATATTAAACAATGTCATTCGATCTCATGACTTTATATATTACTTACAGGCATGTAATTGGCCTCTACATCTATCCCAGCACATATCGCTCTCCCAAGCACTAGACTATAATGATCTACTATTGTTTTTGGTTGCCACTGAGCTGATTTTGACTCACGGAGACCCCATGTGTGCAGAGTAGAACTGCTCCGTAGGGTTTTCCAGGCTGTGACCTTTCAGAAGTGTGTTCCCGGTTCTGTTCTTTGAGACACCTCTGGGCGGGTCTGAACTGCCAAGCTCTTGGTTATCAGTCCAGCCCTTAACCACTATGTCACTTTGGACTCCTAAAATGGTCTAATGGTTAACTTCATAGGAACTTTTAAACAAACATCAAACAAGGCTTCAAATGGATTCTCCTGGTCTCTACCTTTTCTCAGCTCCCCTTAACAGGCTATCCTTTCTTATCAAACACATGCTGCTGTTGTTGTTATTGCCACTGTATGTCTACAAGTCAATTCTGACTCAAAGTGACCCTGCGTGACAGAGTAGAATTTCCCTACAGGGTTTCCTACACTGTTACCTTATAAGAGCAGATTGCCAGGCCTTTCCTCCATTTTTCAAAGGAGTAGCTGTGAGTTTGAATTGTTGGCCTTTCAGTGTGCAGTTGAGCGCTTAACCATTGTGCCACCAAAGCTCTTTTATGAAACATGTTTACCTATGTGTATATATATTTGTGTATATGAGTATATATATATCCTTAGAAGTATTAATATCAGTATTATCAGATGTCAAAATAAAAAACCTTGGAAACCTTGATTGAGATGCTATTTGATAGTTAATGGCTAAATATACTATTACAACAACTTGAAATTTTCCACAACACAGGGAATAAATATACACAACAATTTATTGATGAAAATGAGGTGTTTTGGTCAAATTAAATTTTCCAATGAATCTAGTAGAAATATCTGATCATATGATAATATTTTGTACTTCTTGATGGCAGGGATTATTTTTCACTATTCTTAGCATTTTTTTAATAACAGCACAATTGCACATTTAATTTTGCTTAATTAATAACTTTCTTCATTTAATAAGTGAAAAAGAAATACAAAAGTTATATTTCTCCAGTTTCAGTGTCTAATTGGTTAATGAAGGGGGGCATGAAAATGTTTCATTTTCTCACATCATTAAAAATAACATATTACAAGGTTCCATTTTTATGTAAAATACAATTTTATGGTATCATCATGATCTACATTTATTATAACAAGCAATATGGAATTTCAAGGACCTAAAATAGTATACAGAACAATGTCATATGTTAATTTAATTAAACTTGTATATGTTTGTCATAAAGTTGCAAAAGTAAAGGATACTATCAAATATAAAATTTAATTTTTTGCTTAATAGCCACTACTTACATTTTAAATATTCGGGGGTTAATGAATCACTTTCCAGAAGATGGGTAGAGAGCATTTTATAAACCTCTGAATGCTCCCCCTCTGGGATAAAATTAAATACACTTTGATCCACAAGATCAGACTGAAAAAGATATTAAAATAATTTTGATGATAAAAGAGACATTTATTTTAAAAGTATATAATCACTATTAAAACATTAGAGAAGCATATGGCTCACTTTAATTATCTGAAAAAAAAACCATTATGTCAAGTTAATGACCACGTCTCAAAACACAAAACAAGCTGGAAAGTTGGAAGATTAGCATTACCTTCATACCTCTGATGCTAATACCATAAGCTCAATAATCAATATGACCTTGAGAGCCTGAGGAATTATTTGCAAAGCTGAGTTTCACTAAATTTTAACACTTTAAACTATAATGAAAGTAAGAGAGTTGATTAGAAAAATGCTCTCCTGAGAGACATCTCCTTACCATATATTCAAACCTCTAGTACACTATAGTGGTATGCCCACTAAAAAGGATGAGCTACAGGCTAAACAAAAAGATTTGACTTTGGTGTTATTTCAATTACCCAATGTGCCCTTCGTTTTGCATTTCATCTTTTCCAAGCATCTACCCTGTATGCTACTGTCAAAAAGTCTTGCTTACTTAACTAAAAAAAAGACAAGCAATATGTCAAGCATATGATCATTACTAAAATGTAGCTTTTAATCTTTATTCATTAGTCAATAGTAATTTGACAAATATCAAGTTGCCTACAACGTTCCAGGGACAGTGGAACCAAAGATGTATAAGAGTTCTAATCCTTATGCAATATTAACAACAAAATTTCAGTGACTTTACATTTCCAAAGGCTGGTGGTTCAAACCCAACAGCCACTCCTTGGAAGGAAGACTAGGCAATCTACTTCTGTAGAGATACTGCCTTGGAAACCCAAGGAGGGGCTGCTATGACTCGGGGCCGACTTCACAGTAGTGAGTTTTTTATATTTCCTGTAAGATCTAGTCCATTTTATTTGGTCTCTACATTTTCAAACTGCTCTGTGAACTCCTGGAGATTCTGAATGGTGTCTCAAGAACTGAGCCATGAGGGGTGGTAGGCAGGGTAGTGTAAAGAGCCGTGGAGGCAGGGCTTAGGATGCTTCCCCTGCATTCAACCAAGCAGTTCCACTTTTATCTTGTTTATATTTTAAACATCTGTAAAAATTTTGTTTGAAGGAAGAACTCTGTTGCTAAAAAAAGAAAGAAAATCTAAGCGAATGAGCCATCAGCGAAGGAGAGAGGTGTTTTACTACTTCCCAAACAAGTCATTCAGTTACATTTTTTCTTCTGTCTTTAGTACCCAAAGTTTAGTGGCTCTCTTCCACTGAACTACGCAGTTAAATCCACTCTCTCTCTTAAAAAAAAAAATCAAACTCACTGTCGTCGAGTAGGTTCCGACTCATAGCAACCCCTCCCTTGGGTTTCCGAGGTGGTATCTCTACAGAAGCAAATTGCCCAGTCTTCCTTCCGAGGAGTGCCTGGTGGGTTTGAAGCACCAGCCTTCTGGTTAGCAGTCAAATGCCTTAGGCACTATGCCACCAGAACTCCTACTCTCTCTATAAAACCAAGAAAACCAAACTCACTGACGTCGAGTCAGATCCGACTCACAGCGACCCTTCCTTGGGTTTCTAAGGTGTTATTTCTACAGAAGTAGACTGCCCAATCTTCCTTCCAAGGAATGGCTGATAGGTTTGAAGTGCTAGCCTACTGGTAAGCAGTCAAATGATTTATGTTCTACACCACTCTCCACAGTAAGACTAAAAATGTAAATTTTAAATCTTAAATCATATTGACCCCTGATTAAGATTTAAAACAAAAACAAAAACAAACTCACTGCCATCGAGTCAATTCCGACTCATAGCGAACCTCTCAATGGGTTTCTGAGGCAGTAAATCTTTATGGAAGTAGACTGCCCCATCTTTCTTCTGCAGAGCAGCTGGTGGGTTTGAACCACCAATCTTCTAGTTAGCAGTAAGATGCCTTAGGCACTGTGCCACCAGAGCTCCTTTTCTCAATTAAGATAGCAAGTTTTAAATTGTCAACAGCACTGTATTATAAACACACCTAAACTTATTTAGGGGTTTGCTAATTTTTTCTTCCCTCTGGCCAACAGCCAAAATTCTACTTTTATATAAAGCAGGTTAAGTACAGGTAGTTCCCAATTTACAATCTGAATTAAAACCTCACTTAGGCCCATCTGTGGGGTATTTTTGGATATATTTTAATGTTAACAATATGTACTACATGCCATGTTGCAGCATTCATTCTCAGATGTTCACTTGCAGATGTTCAAAGATTGGACTGGATTTATAGAGAGACTGTTAACAAAAAGCAATAATAATGAAAACTTAAAAAAAAAAAA